GTGACTGTGCAGTTGCTGAACACCTAATATTTACTTACTGGAAAATAAGTGAAATTACTTCATAACATGATCCGTGTACGCGTGTAATCCTGTTAAAGAGTTGTTTTATTATGTGTTTGAAAAAAAAAGAAAAAAGAAAAAAGGAAGAAAAACAAGGTTTCACTTAATTCTCACTATTTTTCCCCTTCCTCTTCCACGCACTCAAAGTAAGTGCACAAAGTCCTACAATAACGCCATATCTCAAATTGCTGCTCGCGATATAGCAACAAGTTTGCACGCATATATCGAAAGCGCATTAACAATACGAGTCATCATAGCTCTCGCGTGCTAATAGTCTCTGGTTCAGATTGCAAGATCAAATGAGAGAAGATCTCACATCAAAAGAGACCAAACAAGCGGGTCGCTGATTCATTCGTGCAGCTGCATTGAGTCCAAGGCCAACAGGCGTATCATACATTGAATGGGAGCTGCTATTCAGAGTGCAGGTGTGAAGTATGTGGCACATTCTGCCATATAATGTGGAGGTTGTTAGAAATCCGTGTTCGGGCCTATAGGCTACTAGGGGGCTGATTCCCATTGGAGGGAGCCCCACTCATCTGGGGAAGTAAAATAACTTAGTGTCCTGAAATCTGTGGATGACGGTAATCCCAAAACCTGGGGAGAGAGTTGAGATGTGGAGCGGGTGGGGGGAAGAGGGCGGTCTATAAGGTCTTATTGGCACAGATTTTCTTTCCCTTCTTCAGGTTCTTGTGACTTATGTTGAGTTTGCCTGCTATATACAAAAGCTGCCGCAGGGGTGTAGCCTTAAACCTGCCTCGGCTCCGCTTGCTCACCTCTTTATATGCGGAATACAGTTAATTTAGCTTTAAAGGCCGTCATAAATCTTTATGACGGAAGCTCATGGTAGCCTATATATCACGGTCACGTGATCTTGTAAATCCCCTCGGAAAACTAACCTTGGACGGTATCGGAATAAAATATTCAATATTCATGACAGGCTTTATGGTTGTAGTTAACTTGTGGGTGTGCATAGTTTGCCTTTTGACCTCCCTTCTCCACACTTGATCAAAGTCCAAGAAATAAAGTGTAATACTCCTTTGCGAGGAAAAAGCGGTGGAATATTCCTATAATAATATTATAAAACAATAATAAAAGAGTAAAATTTGGCGGGATTTCTGTCATTTAAGTTGCCATTTTGACAGCTCAAATATAAATATATTTACTGTAGTAAATAATGAAATCAAAACACCTTTTTTTTCTTAAATCAGTGTGTCCACACTGGCAGCCTTATTATAACAACTCTGTCCAGCTTTTCCGGTCTGTTTCTGGTTGGTCTATTGCACCTGTCTCTCTGTCTGTCTTTCTTTCTTTTCTTTTTTTTCCATGCCAATTTCAGCCTCTTCATTCCTGATAATTATGACCTGGTTGGTGTTGGAGGTGCTGATGGTGGAGCTCAGGCGTGAGGTGGGCGTGGAGGAAAGGGGGAGTGATGAGGGTGGTGTGGATGAGGTGGAGGAGAGGAGGGGGTTAGTGAGCCTTTTACTCCAAGACTGCTAATCCCCCTATTAAAGGGGCTTTGTTCAATAATGCCGGACAGTTTCCGGAAGTAGGATTACCGCCTCCATTATTTTACAAAGAAATAATATTTCACACTCAAATGAGCCTTAGGATGCAGCCGTGATAGTGAGAGGGACTTAGAAGAAATGAAATAGATTCATTTTCTCTGTTTTTTTTGTAGCGATTGAAGCTCGACCTCCACTCCCCCTTCTTTTCTTTTTAATTGTCCCTTCTGCAATTAACGCGAATATGTATTTCCTGTTGAACTCCAGCGTCGCCAACAGTTTCCTGTTTTGCTTCTTCAGCAGTCGTGCAGTGTTGCTTCTCCCTCCTTCTCTCTCTCTCTCTCTCTGTCCCCTTTATACCCCCCTCCCCCAACCTACCCCACCCCATCCACGCACACACACCTGTTCTCGATTCTTGACCCTAGAGATGGTGTCAGATCAGAGGTTGTCACTCAGCTGAAGGCTGGATGAGTGAGTCCAACGTGATCGGTTGTTAAAGAGCTCTTACTGTATTGACTGCCTCTGGTATCAAGTATCTGCACACCGGGAATTTAACTGTAAAAAAAAAAGTATATATAGTAAAAGCAAACAGTCTTCATATTTTATCTCTGCTATGGTAGCTACATGCACGCCGGTTAACACTCTTTGGCTCCAAGCTGCTTTGCAACCAAACCCCGCACACGCCCGCTCAGTTTCCGACAAAGCACAGGATGTTTCTATTTGGTCAACGTCATAAATTAGTCCGCGTAAAGGTTACCAAAACTGCAGACCTGCACAGTCCCTCAACACTTGGCCACGGTCTTATTTTTAATTGAAATTAATCCACACACACACACACACACGCACTTTCATCTTTGTCCGCAGTGAAGATCGAATTCAGAAAAGAGAAGAATGGCTTAAAAACGCAAAACTGGCCACATGTAGCCGAGACACGGACCTCGTCTTTATAACCCGCCCTCTCCTTACTCATTTTCTAATCAAACAACTTTAAAAAAATGTTGCTCGTCGTTCGCTTTCTGCCTTAAATGGAACACGTTTTTTCTTTTTTTTACGCGACTCAGTTTCTTGTCCATTTTGACGGCTGGAACTAAAAAGCTTTAGAAGGCCCAATAGAGAGGAGCCCAACAAATCGGTGACAAAAGGCTTTCCGTGTCATCAACGTCGTTCAGACAACCTAAAAAGAATCCCTCTGATATTAACTTCCACTTCAAAGACTCTCTTTTTCAATTGAGATCCAACTATCTTGTTTTTTCTTTTTCTTCCTTCCTTTCACCCCCCCCCCCCTGCACTTATTAGACCTGGTGCTAAAAAACAGAGGCATCACCATCATCTTATTCTATTAGTGTTAGTTTTCTTTGCTTGCAGTTGAGCCTCTATCACAGAGCAAACTGTCATGAACTTAACCAAACCCTGGAAACGCTGAGGGAGAGAGAGAGAGAGAGTTGTAGCTGTGTGCGCTTTCCACCCACTTCTGCCTCAGTGAGGGCCAGAGTAAAAAATTTACTCCTCAGCCTGAAGTTTTCCCACTACAGCAAAAGTCTTCAAGCTTTTAGTTAACTCCAAATTTTCACTTTTTAATTATAACGTTGGAAAAGATTTCTGCCGGGGAAAAATGGGGCTTTCTGCAAAGTCTGAAATAATTAATTTACTTGTCTACTATTGAAACGGTTATCATTAAAAGACAGACTCTCTCCTATAGTTTTATGTATTTTGTGTGTAGAGTCTAAAATATGATTATGGTTACATTTTATCCAGTGAGCGGTTAGGCCCTAAAGTGCAAGTCTATTATGGTGTGGGACAACTGTTTTTTAGCGGCTTCTCCTTTGATTGTCGTAAAGTAGGCCCGGAGCAAAAGAATATATTTCTCTTCTTTATACTGCCCCAGTCTGCAGTATAAAGGACATAGATTACCGTTTCCTACCCCATGGGAAGCAAATATTACATTATTTAGAGCAGGCTTTTGAGTCCACGGACTTGGCCCCATATCATTTGAGTTTGACTTGGCTATTGCTATAGAAATCTTAATTCACCATGAGGATTCACCGTCGTGAAAAAATGGCTCTTTGTGCGAAATGCTCTTTGAAGTCTGGATCCGAATATTGTAGCCTTTCATCAAACTCTACCCCACGTCTGCATCATACCACAGCTCAGCGGAGTAAGTGAGATTTAACACAAGTGTAGCACATTTTAGACCGCCCCTTTCACCGAGGGAAAAAAACTTTAAAATTAAAAGAAATTATAACTGCATTTTCTTCCGAGATGATTTTTCGTTTGATTATTACTTCGGAATTTAAAAGACGTTTTGAATCCGAACAGCAGGCATGAACGTGGGATATGTTAGTGGAGCTGACCTTCAAGCTATGCAGCAACAGATTGTTTAAGAAAATATATTAATAATATATAATCTCTTTTATAATATAAAGGCGTGTTAAGTGACCAAAAACAAACAAACAAACAAAACAAAAGTGATCTTTATCAAGAGACCTGATAAATTCTATGAACCCGAATAGCTCAGGGATTTAACTTTTGTCATACAAGATTTATTCAAAATACTCACAAATTACAAGGCAATTCGGTACGCATTTTGAGTGCCGCTGGATTTCAGATATTCAAAAAAAGAAAAGAAAAAAAAGACAACAATGATACAAAAAAAAAAAAATCACAAAATGCCCACTTTGATAAAAACATTTATAATTTCACGGTCGTATATCAAATACTGCAGGCATATGAAACAGCTTAATTACTGACCCTCTGCACAAATGTTTGGGAGGGGACGTAAGATGTAAACATAAAATGTTTTTGTACAAATAGCCGCAGTATCCGGTAAGAAACTGCTCCGAAGACAGATCCTTACAAAACTATCAACATCAACACATCGAAACTTACAAAAATTTACAAATGTACATTTTTTTTCCTTTTTGTCTCCGTTGCTGTTGTTGTTCTAATTCAAACATGCACTTTGGTTCGGTAATACAAAATCCTTCAATGTTAGATTGAAAAATAAATAAAAACATATCGAAGTTCAAACTCATTTACAAAAAAAATATAATAATAATAATAATAATTTTACACCAACATGCCTAAGCCTACAATAATGTACCACATTGTCTAACAGATTTACAAGACTCTCTCTGTAAGTGGACCTGTGGGCCGTCAGGGCGTGTAGGCACCGAGCCAACCGCTCTGAACAAGTGATGTTTGAAAATATATTCTTTTTATATGCCTGGAAATTAGCACGTCTTCAAGGTTAGCACATTTTCCTTCCGATGTGGTTAAAATGCGTCTCTTGATTCTGGATTTCTTTTTTGTGGCTCATCCCCTTCACTCCCCCCCCCCCCTCCAAAATAAGGGTACCAGTGGTCCTAAACAGGCACATGGGCACCAAAGCCAAACCGCGTTTTTAATTGTTAAGCTTGTGGAAATGTGTGTGTGTGTGTGTGTGTGTGTGTGTGTGTGTGTGTGTGTGTGTGTGTGTGTGTGTGTGAGCTTGAGCCGGGTTAAAAAGCGTCCCTCGGTTCTGGGTTTCTGTAAGGTGGTTCGTCTGCGGGGTCCGGTGTAGAGTGCCCGCTGGGTGGTGTTTGGGCGCCGCTGGCACCTGAGCTGTGGCAGACGTACCACTCGCTTAAATTCGCGGGCTGGGAGGCTCCCACCGGCTCTGACAACACCGAGGAGCCGCCTGGTTCCCGGCCCAAGTCTGAGGAAGGGGAGACCAGGGAGGGAGTGGACGACTCATAGCCCGAGCTAGGCGGAGGGGACTTGCAGTGCACCTTCATGTGTTTCCTCAGGGAGCTGGGGTGTGTGTAGGACTTATCGCAGCCTCTCACTTTGCAGTTGTAGGGCTTATCGCTGGTGTGGACGTGCGAGTGCTTTTTCCGGTCACTGCTGTTGGCGAAGCGTCTGTCGCAGCCGTCAAATTCACATTTGAAGGGTTTCTCACCTGTTTTTGTGAGACAAGATAAAACACAAATAAGCGAATGAAAGAGTTCAAATGTGAACACGTGATACTCACCCTGAGGCACTAAGCTGCCTTTTCATTAACATACTTTTCCCCCCCTGCATGTCTTCACTTTTATATGAAATGTACAAACAACCTGGTTAAGTGTAACATATGAGAGCACGAGCTGAAAATGAACTATGACCTGTATGAATAGAGCCAAAAATATGTAAAAGTGTGCCAGCTTTTATTATTTCATGTTTATCTTTATAATGCCATTTGATTTTATTTTGGGCATTTACACCCCCCTCCTCCCACTTGCACTATGAAAACAAAAGTTTGCCCGCCTGGACAGCTCCCAGTCTGGTGTAAACATGAGGGCTGAACCCCTACTGTCCTGGGTCTATACCTGGTGTATGCATCCATCAAGGCATCAGTCAAAACAGACAAGCTACGAGCACAGACGTAGCAGGCCTGTAATACCGGCTCAAAAATAATGATGAATCAAAGCACTGCCACCGCCAGGCTTCACCTACTGTGCGATAACGCAGTCTGTGTGTAATTTGAATCCTGCAAACGGTTGTGGACTGGCTCTAATTTTGCGTTTTAATAACAAGTATTTCTACCTGATTATGACAAGGCAAAAAAAAAAAAGACAATCTGAATAAATTACACGGAAATCATCCACTGCTGATTTTTCTCCCCCGATTAAAGCTTTTGAGAATATGTAATTGCCTCTGTCTAATTACACTTGCGGGCTGAATATCAATTTGACCTTCAGCTGTTGGGTTGAGAGAGCCAATCAAGGATATTAGTGTAGTACAAGAAACCGTCGAGGAGCAGACCCCAGGGGCAGCCCCAGTCATAACTACACTTTCGGATAGGTTTTAAACATGATACCAAGGACCAGGCCCCTTGGGAGTCAACACACAGAAATAATTTAGCAGATTTGTACTTAGGTAATGTGAGCAAATTATATGAATAATACATAGGGTGCAAAAATGAAACAGAGGGATATTGCCATGTAGCCACCGATAAAAAAGAAGGGCAAAAGTAATTGTATTAATTTACAAGTCTGACTCGACATTGTCAGGCCTCTTTTCCTTCCTAGTTCCACAGCACGTCACTGGGTGGCAAGCAGCCATGTTGCACCAGTATTTGTTTTTGCAGTTAAATCAGAGATGCTTTAAGCTGCATTGCATGCACACCCATCATTATGCAGGTAGTCAGTCAGCTGTGCAAACCTGCCTGTTAGTAAACTGTTTCAGCCGTCTCCACTTGTAAACTTGTTGCTTGAGCTAAAGAGTACAAAGGCTTAATCGTCCAAAAAGCACGTTTTCTGTATGAACCGGTTACTTTCAGATTGATGAAACACACAGCTACACGTAGCTTACATGATTTTGAAATAACAGCGACAAAAATGAAACACAATAATAATAATATTACTACTAAAAATAATACTAATAACAGATGAAGTGGGTGGCCAAGGCTAAAATAAAAACATCATCTCCACATCATCATCATCATAACCATTATATCTCTTGCTAAAAGTGAAGATGCACCTTTCCAGCTTTGCTGCCAGTCATGTCTGGCAGGACATGCACTGAACTAAACAGGACCTGACGTGGGCCTCAGTCTTTCTGCTGTGGTGTAAACAAGAGGTTGAACCGTCAAACGCCTGAGCGAGCTGTACCATAATCCCCAAACCCAACCTTTGTGAAACTTGCGAGCACTGATGCAACTCATAACAAACAGGTGGCCAGTAGCTGTTGCGTCCTGCTGTATAGGCTATCGAGCAGCAGCGCAGACTGATTAATTGCCACAGGTCTTGAAAGTGCATTATAATGCGTAAAGTTGCGTAAAATAAAATTACAATAAATAAATAAATAAATAATGGAAAATTATCCACAAAAAAGTCACTTCCCTTGCAAGTAGAAAGCGTGCAAACCCCACAGCTGAATTTCAAAATGCGACTTGATAGCTCTATTTTACGATTTACAGTGCATTTTCAACAATCACAGCATTTCCTTCTATGAATATTAAGCCACTGACCTGTGTGCGTCCTTTTGTGAATCTTTAGATTTTCGGATCTTGCGAACACTTTCCCACAACCAGGGAACGGACACGGAAACGGTTTCTCCCCGGTGTGCACTCGAATGTGATTTACAAGTTTGTATTTTGCTTTAAACGGTTTGCCTTCCCTGGGACACTCTTCCCAAAAACATATATGGTTCGCTTGCTCTGGTCCTCCAACGTGCTCTACCGTCACATGCGTTACGAGTTCGTGCATGGTGCTGTAAGTTTTGGAGCAAAGTTTCTTCGGCGAGTGCTCCGGCTCCAGCCACTTGCAAATCAGCTCTTGCTTTATCGGCTGCCTCATGTAGCGGAAAAAGGCACCGGCTCCGTGGTGGTGGTGAGCGCTAAGATTCATGTTCAGATTCAGACCACCGTAGCCATGCAAAGGCGAGGCAGAGAACGGATCAGCCCTGGAGCCTGCCACTTGACTCAAGTGATCAGACCTAACATACATTTCTCCAGGTAGTCCTAACCTTATTTGTCCATTCAGTGTTTGGCCACCCGGTGATCCGCTAGAAGGCTGCTCGTGGTGGAGTCCGGAGAAGAGGGTATGGTTCCCAGCGTCAGGGTGATGACCATAGTGTCCGGGATAGCTACCTGTTGTTGAGACAAACATTCCGTGGTGAGAGGCTGAACCAGCAGTCTGGTCAGTCAGTACTGGCATGGCTTGAGCTGTCAGATCTCTCCGGATGAGGAAATCCCTACCTGCAGATAAAGCCTGGGCCGTGTGAGACATAGAATAGGGGACCGATGTCGCCTGAACCGGGCCAAAAGCTCCCGTTTGACTGGAGACCACTTCACTGTGGCCTGCCATATGATGATTGTGGTGGTGGTGATGGTGGTGGGGATAATGATGGGCTGGGCTGATTTTGAGGGCCGCGGAGTGCCCCATGTGTTCTGGCCCGAATGGACTCGGCCCCAGGCGGGGTTCCGCAGTAATCTCCCCAGGGTGCGAGTGAGCCATTGAGTGTGGATGGCTGCTGAACCCCGGGAAGCCTGTCACGCTCTGAGGGGTATGGTGGTGATGATGGTGATGGTGGTGAGCCCCTGCCAAGTCAACTAATCTCAGCGCCGTGTTCCGTTTGGAAAACGTAGGGTCCATCACGGGGCTTCCCAAAGCATCCACGCTCATTACTTCCTAATTTTAGAATAACTTGACAGCAGGCAAAATAATAATGATGATGACAAATATATTTTAATCGCAATGAAAAAATAAAGAAAAAAAACTTTATAAAGTTAAGTCTATCTGCAGACTACATGGAATCCCATTCGGTTGAGAGGCAGCAGCAGGACGCTTTGATACTGAATAGAGATTCATGGTAGGCGCTGCAGCCCGTGGAGCTAAACAATCACCCTGCGCTCTAATTGGTCAGAGCTCTGTGATTGACGTCACCAGTGACAGTTTCCAACGTGAAGAAAAATGTCTTAGTGACAGCGAGCAGCTACCGCGCATGCGCAGTGCCTCGGGCAACGCTCAGGAAAAAAGGAATAGTTGTTATGCAAAGGTTATTGTACAATAAAAGTCCTAAAAAGTTGATCCCGATATACAGTCGTTTCTCTTTTGTTGCGGCTCACAAAGGCTGTGAGGCTATGAAATAGCAATTTCCCCACTTTGATTATGTCCTTACAAAACAGACTGCTCCGCGAAGAGTGTACATATTGTCGCTGTAAAAGTTGTAAGGATCATAAATAATGCAGTGATATCTTTATTTTGCACTGCAGCGTATCAAGGGCAGCTTTACGCACAAATTACGCGTAAGTTTACGCACGTAAACGATCGATGTCAGCGGAGAAAAACTTGTGCAAAGGACAACTCCACGTGGTAGTTTTAAATAGTCCGGAGTACATACCATTAATATGCGCTTTGATAAATGCACATATTTACATATCCAGCCGTTTGCCCTTCAGCGCATACTACAGAGCTGACTCCGTGCTCTGCCTGGTGGGATCCGTGTGAGTAGGATGTGTGAATAGGGCGAGCTGCGGCCATTGTCCCGAGGAAAAAAATGTAATGGACGGGACCTGTTGTTATGATCCGGGGTAATTTTGCTTTAGACCCAGGACGGTAGCAGATGAGGGTCACAGAAGGTGGTGCCGTCGCAGACTTAAGTTCAAAATAATTCGTTTCTGTAGCCCACTGTAAGTACCGATACAAGCTTATCCTGCAAAGGATAAAACTAACCGTGATTATTTTTCTATCTTTGTTTGAATGCGTAACAGAAAGACAGTAATAGCTACAAATCGTGACAAAACGCCATGCGGTTTTATAAATTATCCTCCAGATGGGTATTTTTTTCTACACGGACTTTGTCTTTTTTAAACCGTCAGCAGACTAAAAGAAATCAAATGGTTAGTTATTACAATGCTGACTAATTTGTTTATATAGCTTCACACGGACTATAATTTTCAGCATGGTTGACTTTTTCGGTGAAACAATCTTGCATGCCGACACTGCAATAATTGTGTTGCAATATCATAACTGTGGAAGTTGTATTAGATTTTTTTTCTCTTGTGACACTGCCATTACTTTGACTTTTCCTTATTTGTTTTTTTACATTTTGGGAGTATGCGTTATATACACCAATTCGACATGTGCGGCTCATTTTTGACTGAAGTTTTATCATCTCTGTTTGCAGGGAAAAAAGATGACTGTGACTTTGTGAAATCCATAAAGTAGTGGTCAATCTGATGTCAGATACGAGGTGTTTTAATAGGTGCTGTTTGTCTTCTACGTGGTTCGTAATTTGTAGAGTCAAGTCTAAAACCCCAAATTATTTTCAGAGTCGCTCGTCAGCATTTCCGTTAATGAGAAAAACAAGTGCACACTATCTGAACTTGTGTTTAAGGGTGACTGAATTCATCATTCTTAGATGTAGTAATTAAAATAAAGCAATTAACCGAATATTAAGTGACTTTTAATCAGCTACCATTTTTGATAAGAGAAAATCAGTTGCAAATCTGTATTACTCTAGGTTATTTCTATGGATTGACTTGTCAAAACCTTTGCTGACAGCGTCATATCCAGCACATTAGAAACTGAGTCAATATTTTGAGACGTGACGGATCCAAAAGATGCTTATTAAATGGCCTTTACGCATGTGGCTCATGAGGCTCACAGCTGCAGCCTTCAGAGGCATCACAGCACCAGCGTAATGCAAAACTTTGAAGTGCTATTTCTGGTCCAAGTTGTGCATGCACTCACTCACTCTTGGAGACAAGTAAGCTAGGGAGCTGTACGAGATCCCAAACCAAAAAGCTGAATAATGCAGCGAGGTCTCATAAAACGTCGCATTTGCTCCTTTGGCTTTCACTTTAAACCCTCAAATAGCTTCTGCTAACAATTTCAATTCTGCGCATGTAATATCATAGCCGATTATTGGCCGTTTCATTAGGATAGCCTATAGCTTTTGCGCATTAAAACTAAATATATTCAATTCATTTTGAGGCACACGGGGAACTTTGAGTGCGTTGCAGTGTCATGTACTACTGCAGCAACTCTAATTTATCTTTGCATGTTTCAATTTTGTATACAATACTCTCAGCTTATCAATGATATGTCATTCTTACCGTTTCCCACCTGTTGAAATATCCCTCCAAAATTTTGTATAGCAGAATATGGGGACACCTAAAAGGGAAAAAAAAAAGGTCGGATCAAGTCGTAGTTCTACTTGTTAAGTTGAGAACAACAAAACTTCCTCTCTTTCCTTGGTCTCCTAAGGCTGACTAGGAGAATGGCTTGTAGAAGCCAGTCTAGTAGCCAAGAAGATATTTTAATGGTTTGTATGGCACGTCTGTGCGTGTGGCTTTGAACTCTAGCAGCCGGAGGTTCCTGCAGAGAGCGCCGCAAATCCCACTTGATAACTTCGACAACCCACAACGTTTTACACACAGGTTGTGCATTGCTGGTCTGCTAAAAAAAAAAATTTAAAAAAAAATTGAGTGAGTCGCGCAAGCTCAGCCAAACCGTGATGGATACATTAGGTATAGTTGTAGATCCAAGTTAAATACTGGCCTATATATTCAAGGTAACCTTTGTGAACGCGGGGTGCTGGTGAGCATGATGTGGAAATCTAAAGCACAGATGTTCCACTGGTGTGCGCTTCAGTGGACGCCGAAACACAGTGTTGAAGTGAAACAGAGCTACAAAACTCGGACTGCGCACAAGAGGAAGAAAACAAAACGTTGTATGGACTCATTTGAAGTGAAACAGATAAAGTGATAATCCCCTGCCTTTCGAGAGAGTGATGACCCCAAATGAACTTCAAATAGCGGTTCCCCTAAGTTTTCCGAATGAAACACATCTAAACCGTGTCTCTCTATACCTGTACCTGGCACACGTGATGACGGGTCCAGGTTAGAACTCTGTCAGGTTCCATGATCTCCTGAATGCTGTCCCACGTGCAATAAATAAGAGAAGTGTCAGATAATAATCATTGAAAGCAGACAAACAGATTGACGCATCTATCAGCCTGAGCGCTTAACTGTACAAAACGTTACCAATTACACAAACAAAAAAAGGGCGTGCTTGGTAATCTGATGGCCATGGCAACAAAGGCAACGTTTGGTTTGTAACCCTTCTGCACTCCGTGGCTGCAAAACGGGCTTCGACTTACTTTCTACGAGGCCAATTGTTGTCTTGTGTTTCCCAACTTTTGTTTTGCTGTTATTCAGCCCTTTAACCAAATTCACAGTCAGCATTCTCACAATATCTGGGATTGATGATGCAAAGAGGCCAATAGAAGTGAGGGCCCTGCACCGTGGATTGTTATTTGGTGAGTGGATGTTATTGGGGGGAAAGGGGCTCCGCCAATGAACGAGAAGCTCCGGAGCCACGTGACTACCCCCCTCCTCTCCCATTCATCAGGGCTGGACTGTGTTGTCTTTTCAATTCATTTATCTGCAGGAATGATTGCGACTATCAGTCTAGAGCTCACCGCCTGACTGAGGAGGTGAAAGTTGCGCCACAGGAAGATAAACCGCAAAAGACAATATTGCATGTATACATGATTTTGCGTGTGCATCGGATGAGCGGTATAGGGGGATTCCTCGCGTCTTAAAAAGTAAACAGAAATTCGGTGGATTTGAGAGTTTGCTCAGTGTAGAGGTCCAAGAGATACAGAGAGGGGGAGGAAGAATATCTGCGCGTGGTTTTTTGATTTCTGCTCTCAGTCGTCTCAGCGAGTCTAGACTGAAGATGCTCCTGGACGCAGGACCGCAGTATCCCACCATAGGAGTCACTACTTTCGGCTCCTCACGGCATCACTCAACAGGCGAAGTCACAGAGAGAGAAGTAGCGTTGGGGATAAATCCGTTCGCGGATGGGATGGGTGCCTTCAAAATAAACCACAGCTCCCACGATATTGGCTCCGGACAGACGGCGTTTTCTTCCCAGGCGCCCGGCTACGCAGCAGCTGCCTTGGGACACCATCACCACCCGACCCACGTTGGCTCTTACTCCACGGCGGCTTTCAACTCCACCAGGGACTTTCTCTTCAGAAATCGGGGTTTTGGGGATGCCACCGGGGCGCAGCACAGTCTGTTTGCCTCCGGAAGTTTCGCAGGGCCACATGGACACTCAGATGCAGCCGGGCACCTGCTCTTCCCAGGGCTCCACGAGCAAGCAGCAAGCCATGCCTCTTCCAACGTGGTCAACAGCCAGATGCGGCTGGGCTTCTCGGGGGACATGTACGGACGGGCCGACCAGTATGGCCACGTTACGAGCCCCAGGTCTGACCACTATGCGTCAACCCAGCTGCACGGCTATGGCCCCATGAACATGAATATGGCTGCACATCACGGAGCAGGGGCCTTCTTTCGATACATGAGGCAGCCGATCAAACAAGAGCTTATCTGCAAGTGGATCGAACCGGAACAGCTGACGAATCCCAAAAAGTCGTGCAACAAAACTTTTAGCACGATGCACGAGCTTGTGACCCATCTAACGGTGGAGCATGTGGGAGGACCAGAGCAGACGAACCACATTTGCTTCTGGGAGGACTGCTCCAGAGAAGGAAAGCCATTCAAAGCCAAATACAAACTTGTAAATCATATCAGAGTACACACCGGTGAAAAGCCCTTTCCGTGTCCGTTCCCCGGCTGTGGCAAAGTATTTGCTCGATCGGAAAATCTAAAAATACACAAAAGGACTCACACCGGTAAGATCCGCACAGATTGACCTTTTTTTTTCTTAGTGCCAAAATCAGTGCTGAGAATGCCTCATCCAAAATATGCATGCAATCAGGATTATTATTTATAAGGCAGCTGCAGTATCTTCACTGACATTTGACTCAGT